TAATTATTTAATTGATTTTTAAATTCCAATAATTGAGATTGAATTTTTTGAATTAACTCGATAGGAAGTGATTTGTTAATTCGGAAAGTAAGAGGTAGAGGTTGTTGAAAGGAACGAATCATTTGATCCATTTCTTCTTTGGTTTTGACAATTTGTTGAATTTCGAAATAGTATTTGTAGAACATTTCATTTTCTGGAATAATTTCATCATAATTTGGAGTACGTGATGATGAAGATTTTACTTTCTTTTGTGATGAATCGAAGGAAGTGGAATGAGTGGTTGATGACTCTTCTTCGGTAAGATTGGGGCTATCCGAGATGGTTTTTCGTTTACCAAGAATTGAAGTGTCATGGATGGGAGTGCAATTTGTTTGTTGTGATGACATTTTTTTTTTATAAAAATTTTTTGTGATTCAAAATAAAATTTGCAGGTTGGGCTTCTCTTTGCTTTCAGAGAGCCTATTGCCAAACAACGCCCTTTTAGTCTTTTCCAAATAAAAAATTGTGATCGCCCACCGTGGGGCTCGAACCCACGACCACAAGATTAAGAGTCTTGCGCTCTACCGACTGAGCTAGACGGGCAGACATTCAATAAAAAATACAGATAATTTTAACATACAGTTCTTACAACATGCAGTTGAAGCAATCAATTTGTTGTGCTGCGTTCGGTTCTGCTCTCGTAAAAAATTTAAATATTATTTATTGGCCCTTCGGTGCCTCAGTACGTTACATTAGACGTTCGTTTAAGTAAGGATACAACTTCAGAATGTCAAATGTTTTTGTAAGGATATTTCAAATATTAACAGGTTTCTTGCTTGTTTTGAGCAACTGCTATAAATGGAGCGGGTTAAGTCCATCGATGAACAGATGGCGAAAATAATGCAAGGATTGTTCTATTAATGTTTTTTGAAATATCAATGGTTAGTAATATTGGGTTATCAATAATCATATTAATAGGTCACGAATTAGTAAATAGTGCTGATTAGTCAATAAACAAATATATAAGATTACCAGTTTGTTCTTCATAGGATTCATGTCATAATAGTCGTGGTACAGCAGGGTGGAGAGCAATCCTGGATCCAATAAAGGGTGAGATGTTTTTTTCTTAATCCTCTAACCACTACATGTTTCTTGTCGAGTTGATGTTTGGTCAAGTGGATCGTAAGTGCTTGTCCAATTTCATCGTCGTCATGAACAACGTGGTGGTGAACTTTGTTCATCTTTTGGTTAGTTTTTCTTCTTGGCTTGGCTTTGACGGTTGTACGTGGTTTCTTGGGTTGTATTCTCATGCTTGTTTTCTCAGGTGTTAGTGGCGTTGGTCGTTCGGTATTAATTTCTGGTGGCTTTTTCTCTGGTTTTTCAACATTTGAATTATTGACGGTTTCAATTGGTGGATGGTGTGTGTTTAAAGTAATGTGATGAGGGTGCTGTGTACTTTCCTCGTGGTTTTGTATGTATTCATCGAGTATGTTATTTAATTGTTGGAGGGTAAAGATAATGTAATGCGTTTGTTGTTCAATCTTTGCTAACCGTTTTTCCAAGCTGTGGAGCATGTCAGAGTCTTTTCTATTGATCATCTTGCGGTATTTTTTAAGGGCTCGACACCTAAAAAAATGCCTCAACAAACACTGAAGCACTTCGTAGCTGATTTGCGTGAATTTTTGACATCAACAAAAAACATCCAACCTCCGGAAAACATTCCAGAGCCACAACTGGATGAAGAAGAAGGATCCGATTTGAAACCTTCAAAATCAGCATACTTTTTTCAATTATCAAAAGTTTATGATGCAAAAATCGAATTCTGGTTGGCCAAAATGAGAAAATTTTCGTATGCTTTCCTCTTGTTGGCAATCGTTCATCTTTGTAAGATTGTATTTTCGGATAGTATTGATGCAGAAAATTCCCGATGGAGTGATTTGATGGAAATGAATCGGGCTCAATCATTTGTACTTTCAAATTATCCTCTTGTTGGATCGATATTGGATTTGATATTCGTGAAGGGTCTCATAATTATCATGTCATTCACTTTATGTTATCAATACTACAGCAAAACTAACACAGAAAATATGAGACGATTGAATGTGATTTATTACGCCACAAATGTAGATATTTTCTTTTTCATGTTACATGTTGTGTTTTTTGTATGGGCTGAATATGGAAGAAGCATGGAATCTCCGCTTCCAATGCTGTCAAGCCCGATATTTAATACTCTATTATATATTGGATGGGTTCTTACAATTTTACTTTATGTAAGTGGTCATTTCGAAATAACTATTGTTTAATTTTCTCTTT